AAAGAAAAAACTTTTAGGTCTAAAAAGAAAAAAAATCAAAATGTAGGGTCTTTTATGGAAATAACCCTTTTATTAACTTGTGACCTACTATAAGAGGTTTCACAGGTTAACCCTAACCCTCTTTAACCAATTTTTTTTTTAATAAATTTGCCCAAAGTTTTTATTTCTGTTACGAACTTTGTCCCAACTTTTTTTTAAAAAAATTCGCCCCAACTTTTTAACAAAATTTGTTTTTTTAATATTTATTTTGGTACAACTTTGTCTTGGCTTTCCGAATAAAATTTTGTTTTTTGCTTTGATTTAATATTTTTACAACTTCATAAAAAAGTAGGGGCAAGTTTGTTTTAAAAATTGTAAGAGGATGCGGCAAAACTTTTAAAACACACAAAAAAAATTTATTCGGAAAATTAAACCAAATTTGTAATAAAAAATAAACATTACAAATTTTACAAAGTTGGGGTAACTTTGTAAAAGAAGATCAAATTCGTAATAAAAAGCTAAAACTTGGGGCAAAGTTGTTAAAATTTTTTTGGCTAAAGATGGGTGTAAATTGTAATGGATAGAAATTTAATAAGTTAAATGAATTTGGATGTCTAAAATTAATTAAAAAAACGTTTAGGGACTAAATAGGTAAATGGTGGATAGTTGAAGTGCAAATTTCAACCTAAACCCCCAAACTATTTCATAATTTATCAATAAAAAAAAATAAAAAAATGATTTTGAATTTTACCTTAAAAGGAGTCTCCTAATGAACGGATCTTCCAAAACTTGAGCCCAAACGGGATGAATTGAGTCTAAAGACGCCAACATTTCTCCCCACTTATCCAAACACGAAGAAAGAATATTCTGTGCCTTGTTAAGATTCTCCTTAAAAAAAATTAAAAATGATTTCGATTTTATTCAACTTACAAGGGCAAAATAGTAATTTGACATAAGTGAAGTACCATTTGGATGTCGGAGCCTGAAATGCCAAGTAGGATGATAAGAGATTGCAAAGGGGATGTGAGAAAACTTGTGAATTGGCTTCCATTGGGTATGCGAGGGTCTATGGTATTATTGTGTGGTGTCGGGTATGAAGAAGTTGGAGATAGGAGAATTGCAATTGGTTCTCCTTTTTCTCCCTTGTTTATTCCCTAAAATAAAAATAATAAATTTGTATTTATTATTTTCCTTTTAAATTATATGTCAAATCTTTTATGTGAAAATATATAAAAACTTGCCTGAAAAGCTTTACTGTTGTCACTATCAATAATAAGGAAAAGTGGTTTTCTTGTAAATGGAAGCAAGTCGCAAGGATAAATCAGATTAAACACTGAAATTAAAAAAATAAAAAAATAAAATTATTAGACATAATCTTTATTGTAGAAAAAAAAATTGTATTATTCTATCAACTAACAATTACTATCAAGTGAAAACCTTACACGTTATACTATTTAACATTAACCAAATGTTTTTTTAATTGTTCATAAGGTCACATACTTGCTACAGTTTTGTTGTTTTAGTGAATTGTACTTTTGGTCCCTGTAGTTTTCAGATATATAAAATTACAGAAGTGATCGCTTTGTGAGAAAAAGTTTACCAAAATGGTCCCTGCGTAATAAAATTACAGAAACAATTCCCCTTTATGAAAAAATTTACAGAAATGGTCTTTGTGTAAAAGAAGGTTACAGAAATGGTCCCTATGTAAGAAAAAATTACAGAAATGGTCCCTCTCACTGCAACATGTGCGCTTAAAACCCTTGTAATTGTATGTTATATAAAACATTAATAATATTTTGTTTAAGAGTTTTTTGAAAGCTTACTTTTATACTATTTACAAAGTTAAATAAAAGGTTACAGAAATGGTCACTGTGTAAAAAGGTTACAGAAATGGTCCCTGTGTAAGAAAAAATTACAGATATGGTCCCTCTAGCCGCAAGATGCGCACTTAAAACCCTTGTAAATGTACGTTATATAAAACATTAAAAATATTTTGTTTAAGAGTTTTTTTAAAGCTTACTTTTATACTATTTACAAAACGATTAAATAAAAGAAGGTTACAGAAATGGTCTTTGTGTAAAAGAAGGTTACATAAATGGTCCCTGTATATGAAAAAATTACAGAAATGGTCCCTCTCACTGCAACATGTGCACTTAAAACCCTTGTAATTGTATGTTATATAAAACATTAATAATATTTTGTTTTAAGAGTTTTTTGAAAGCTTACTTTTATACTATTTACAAAATGATTAAATACAAGAAGGTTACAGAAATGGTCCCTGTGTAAAAAAAATACAGAAATGGTCCCTCTAGCCGCAAGATGTGCGCTTAAAACCCTTGTAAATGTATGTTATATAAAACGTTAATAATATTTTGTTAAGAGTTTTTTAAAAAATTATTTTTATACTATTTACAAAATGATTAAATAAAAGATGTACCTCCATTTCCATGAGAGCCAATATTTAAGCCTCCAAGACTATCATCACACACAGCATCTGATTGAGTCATATTAGTCTGAATGTTATCAGCACCATAATTTGATGCACCTAAAACATGAATAAATGAACAATTTGAAATAATAAAATGAAAATTTTTAAAAAAATGGGAAAAGTTTTTGACTTATTTCACCTGAAGCAGATAAATATATCAACAGAACACCATCAGCAGGGAGCTCCTCACACATAGTAGCAAGAACCTGTCATTTTTTAATGATAATAATATCGTGTTATAAATAATATATGCAAGATATAGCAACATACTTTCATTTATTTATTTTTTATAGTTATAGCATCTTACTTTCATCTCTTTATATAATAAAATTCTACTTTTGACTTTTTTTTTTCTTATTAAGGCTTTGTATTTTGAGAAATCTACCTAATTATAGCATTGTAATTTCAAAAATATATATATAAAATCTTATTTTGAGAAATCTACAAATTTATAGCAGTGAAATCTGTGTTGTATTTGGATTACATAATTAGGGTAGATTTTTAAAGTACAATGTTCTAATGGAAAGAAATGAATGTATGATGCTATAATAGGATGGGTTAATTTCATAAAAGACCTTATATTTTATATTTACATTTTTACTTTTTTCCTGAAAAAACCTTGTATTTTTTCATTCTTTCCAAAAAAACCCTAACCTTTGTCTTTTTTTTCCCAAAAAAAAAAATAAATAAATAAATAAACAAAAAAAAAAAAAAAACTTCTACTATTTTAGAAAAAACCCTCACATTTTACAGTTTTTTTGGGTTAATCTCATAAAAGTCCTTATATTTTGTGTTTTTTTTTTTCAAATTAAACCTCAAATTTATTTTTTACCTGAAAAACACATTGTATTTTTTCATTTTACCCGAGTTGGCCCTTTTAGTCATTTTGTAAAATGTGAGGGTTTTTTTTCGCGAAAAAACTAAAAAAGTTGAGGGTTTATTTGTAAGCATTTGGAAGTTCGAAGGTTTTTTCAGAAAAAAAAAAAAAATACAAAGTTGAGAGCTTTTTCAGAAAAAAAATGAAAAAATACAAGGTCTTTTTCAGACAAAAAATAAACTCGAGGTTTAATCCCGCAAAAACACAAACTATAAGGTCTTTTTAGTAGAGTGCTATTTCTTGTATTTAGCTATTTGTAGATTGGACACTCACAGCTATGAAGTGAGTGGTTGATGGAGAATACAAAACTGCTTTACGTGGATTTGGAGGCAAAGTAGGATCAGAAATCTCTTGAGAATAATAATTCACACGAATGGATCCTTGGTGGGGCCCACTTTGACCAATGTTTGACCAAGGGATTGAGATTCCATTTCCATTTGATTGGTAAAAAGAGCCACTTGGTTCCCACTCCAAACATTGAAGCATTCTGAAATTGTCAATAGTCAGCTCTGAGAACTTAACCTGAATAACAAATGAAAAAAAGAAAACAAGATATATAAATAAGGGTTAATCTAAAAAAAGACCTTGTAGTTTGTGTTTTTTTTTGGATTAAACCTCAAGTTTATTTTTTGCCTGAAAAAGACCTAGTGTTTTTTTTATTTCATTTTTTCCGAAAAAGCCCTCAACTTTGTTTTTTTTTTTCTGAAAAAAACCCTCAACCTTCTAAATGCTTCCAAATAAACCCTCAGCTTTTTTAGTTTTTCTCGAAAAAACCCTCACATTTTACAATTTTTCTCGAGTTAATCTCATAAAAGACCTTATATTTTGTGTTTTTTTCCGGATTAAACCTCAAAAACTAATTTTGCCTGAAAAAGAACTTGTATTTTTTCATTTTTTTCCAAAAAAACCGTCAACTTTTTTAGTTTTTCTCAAAAAAACCCTTACATTTTACAATTTTTTTGGGTTAATCTCATAAAAGACCTTATATTTTGTGTTTTTTTTGGATTAAGCCTCAAATTTGTTTTTTCCTGAAAAAGACCTTGTATTTTTCTCCATTTTTCCGATCTGGCCCTTTTAGTCATTTTTTTCCAAAAAAAATGTAAAATGTGAGGGTTTCTTCGAGAAAAACTTAAAAACTTGAGGGTTTAGTTGGAAGTAGTTAGAAGGTTGAAGGTTTTTTTCGGAAAAAAAATAAATACAAAGTTGAGGGCTTTTTCGGAAAAAATGAAAATACAAGGTTTTTTTCAGGCAAAAAGTAAACATGAGGTTAAAATGTGGAAATTTCACCTAATTATAGCAATGTCATCCAAATACAAAGCAATTTTATTTTCACTGCTATGATTGGGGAATTTTTCAAAGTACAATGTCCAAATAAGAAAAAAACCTAAAATGACAATGCTACCCCTATGTAGATTTTTCAAGGAACGATACCATTATTAGAAAATTGTGAAAGTATTACGTTTTAATAGAAACGAGAAAGAAAATGGTTACAGGATTCCATAATAAACAAATGAGTAAATTACAGTTTTGGTCCCTATGGTTTGGTCAGATTTGCACTTTTAGTCCAATTCTTGAAAAATGGGTATGGTTTTATAGTTATTTAAGTATGAAAAAAAAGAGTAAAAGGAAGAAAAAAGAAAATAGAAAGGGTAAAGTAGTCTTTTAATATCACGGATGGACCAATGGTCTAATTTCTCCAAACCACAGGGATATAACCTATCAATTTTTTAACTTAGGGACCAAACCTGCGAATTTGATCAAACCACAAGGACCAAAACTTTAATTTATTCTAAACAAATATATGAAAGTACATTGTTATTTCTTGCATTTAGCCATAACTGCTAGGGTTAACTGCAAAAATAGCAATGTACTAGTCTTTCTTAAATTATTAGTTTATTATAGCATCCTACTTTCATTTATTCTAATTATAGCATAAAATTTTGGGAAATATCAACTATAATAAATCAAGATCAATTTTGCCACATGTCAATCTTTCATGAGTTTTGACACTTGTCATTTTAAGGTATCTTTGAAATAAATAATATCCACATGTAAATTTCTGGGTTTCTTTTTTCAATTTTTAAAATTCTTAAGCCATATAATAGTTATACTTATATATGTAAACTATTAAATGTAATGAATGTGATACCATAAAATGACAAGTATCAAAACTCATGAAAGATTGACATGTGGCAAAATTGATCTTGATTTATTATAGTAGATTTTACTTTAAAAAAATATTTATTATTTACAATTTAACATTTCTTCTAAATCAACCTGTGCAGTACACAGGTCTCACACCTAGTACCCAAATATAGCAATGAAATCCAAATAAAAAGCAATTTTAACTGCTATATATGGTAGAGGAATTTCCAAATTATAATATCCTAATAAAAAAAACTAAAAGTACAATGCTATGATATAACTATATAGATTTTTCAAAGTACAATGTCTTAATAAAAAAAATATTGAAAGTAGATTGTTGTAAATTGTAAAAAACAAATAAATGAAAGTAGGTTGCTATTTCTTGAATTTAGGGGTAACCTCATTTGGATGATAGCTGCAAAGTAAGGCATCTCTCAATTTTAGCTTTCTTTTGATAAAGGAAACACGTGGCAAACTATCTGGATCATGATCCAACACAATACTGTATCTTAAAGGCCTCATGCTCATGAAAGCAGTGTCAACTTTAAGAAATTTGGTTATGTCCCGAATTACCCTTTTCCATTCCTTGAAGTCAGTGTCCTGAAATTGAACTTTGATATATTATTGAGAAATTGGTGCTTTGGTTGGATGGAATGGAATGAGAAATGGAATGGAATGAGTTATTACATTCCAAGATCATATTTGGTTAGATTGTAGGAATGGAATAAGTTTTGTGTTTTGTATGATTTTAATTTTTTTTGTATTATATATAAATACAATGAGCATTTACCAGGGTAGTGTCTACTTTATCCCAAAAAAGTGTATAGTTTCAACATTGTTATATATATATATATATATATATATATAT